TTGATAGCCCCATCTATGAAACCTTTCAACCAGACGATGACCTCCTTTGACACCAACACAGTCGCCCTGTTATTCTCTCTGATTTTCAAAACGTCCTCACCTTTGATCCTTTCCTCTTCGAACTTGAAAGTCTTGGCTTCGATCAAGACCTCAGACCTCCACCTTCCTACTACTCTGAACCTTCCCTCGTCCTCCATTCTCCCTCTCAGTATGCCTATGTATTTTTTCTGGAGATCATTTATCAATGAAAGGTGCTAGAAACTGGAATTTGAGATCATGGTAATACTTTTTTTTTTCAAAAATGGTGAACAAAGGGAAAATACTTATTGATAAAAAAAAGGGAAAATAGAGTCGATTTAGCTAGACAACCTGTTTTGGGATTTTTTTTTATTAAATGTTTTCCATATAATCAACTTTCTGATCTTCTGGACTTCATCTCCCTTTATTTTTCAGATTTTGTTGAATGTGAAAAAAAAATATGTGTAACCCAGTGGAGAGATGCTTTGGCCATTAATACATTGTGTTTTTTTTTTTTTTTTTTTAATCTTAAATGAGTTTAGGGATCTTCAGATGAGTTCATTGATGCCAACATCCAACTTGCCTTGGCTGTTGTTAGGAAGCTCCAAGAGAGAAAAGGAACCAGGGCGTGCATTGTGAGGATTCTTTTTCTTTCATATCATGATTTATATTCTTCTGTTGAAATATAAGTACTGAAATAATCTATTATAATCCAGGTTTTTCCTGACAAACCAGAAAAGCGCAGGGCTTCAGAGCTCTTCAAAACAGCTTTTGATACGGTATGGAAATGGTCATTTAACTAATTTCTTTTAATATCTTATAACAAATAAAAGTTGGATTAAACTTTTTCTGCAGCAGGTATATAACTATGTATTTAAATGTGGAAACTTTTTAGAATACATAGAGTCTTATAAAGATGTCTTATGAACAACTTTCTAAATGCCACTTCTTTGGTTTTCTAACAGATATATATTTTTTCCTTTCAGATTAATGGTATAACATTAGGATCCCTTGATGATGTTCCCAGTGGGCCTGTTACATCATTCTTCAGGTCTATAAGAGACACCTTGGATTTTGATTTTGAAGATGATAATGAAGGTTAGTTACTGCACACCTAGTCCTGTAGTGTTTCATGCTTTTTGAGAGACACTTCTACCATGTTTGCTTTTGGAGCATTTAAAAAAGGAAAAACATGAACCTGTGCACCTAAGGTTTAAGCTATCAACTTTAAATTGAAAATCCAGAGTCATGTTCTGTTGGGTAGTATATCAGGAGTATTTTCTTTCTATTAGACACAATAATGTTTTAGACTTAAGAGGAATAAAGCATATTTGTAAGTAAAGCAAAGGCTTTCAATAAGGAGCCTGGCAACAGTGGGAGAGAGAGTGAGAGAAAAGAAAATTTTACAGTGAGGCATCTATTGCCATGGAATGTTGGTTTAATCATGCTGTAGTTTCATAATATGTTTTCAAATCATTATTGACCAAGATGGTTGAACCATTCAACCTGTCACCCAGCAGGGAAGACAGTTTGGTTTAACCTTAAACCTATTAATTTACAAAAATTTGGTGACTTGTTCAATGAACTGGTGACCTAGATGGTTGAACCATTGATTTGTTCAAACCATTCAATCGATGATGGTTAAGATGGTTGAGATATTTTGGGTAAGAAGGTAAGTGAAATGAAAGAGGCATTAGGCTTCAAATGAATATAAATCATCATCATCATTAGACTTGTTCATGGACTAGGCTTGGGATTAGCTTTTGGCAAAATTTGAATGGGCCCAACCCGAAACCTCAGCCTGAAACAGTGTAAAACTGAGCCCAAAGCCTGGCTTATGAACAGGTCTAATCATCCTCATTCAAGTCTTGTCCCAACTCCCAACTGTATGGGGCTGACTACATGAATCCTGTTTTCACCATTCTGTTCTGTTCAGTGCTGCATCCATCATTAAATTCATCATCTTCATCATCCATGCCTTATCCTAACTATATAGGGTCGGCTACATGAATCTTGTTTCGCCAATCTGTTCTATTAAAAAGCCATACTTAAATCATTTCTTACTACTACCCATGTCCTTTTTTGTCTACCTTGAGCTCTTCTAGCCTCTTCAATGTGTAACAAATCACTTCTTCTAACTAGTGTAGTTGGTGGTCTTTTATGCACGTGCCCAAACCATCTTAGGCTACTCTCTCTCATTTTAACTCCTATTGGAGCTACTCCTAGGTTCCCACAGATAACTTCATTCTAGACATGTTTCTTGACTGCCTGACACTTCACTCCATACAACATAGCTGACCTTACAACTATTTTGTAGAATTTTTCTTTTAATTTAGGTGGTATTTTCCTATCACATAAAAATCCACATGCATCCCTCCATTTTCCCATTCTGCTCTAATTCTTTGGGTGACATCCTTCTCAATCTCTCCCTTATTATGAATTGTTGAACTAATTTCTGATAAACAAATATATATTGAACCAAGGTACTGGAAATGATCACATTGTGTTAGGAACTCGAGTGACAAACCAGTAATTCAACAAGTATACTTTAGAAGAAAGAAAAAGGCTGGAAGCCACATCAGCAGCAACCTAACAAGTTGAAAGCAAGAAACGTTGCAAGATCACCTAACATGTTAAATACAATTGTCAATTCTTTCTCTTGATTGAATAAGCCTATATAAAGTCTGTATGTAATAAGAGGAATGATAGATTTTCCACCTTTGACAATCTCTCTCTCTCTCTCTCTCTCTCTCTCTCTCTCTTCTCTCCCTCTCCCTCTACTCCCTGTGCATTCAGGAGGTTGCACCCCCTTAACACATTGAGTTATCTCTTGGTCTCCAATCCCAAGGGTATCTTGATTTGCACTCCTATTATTACTAAATTTACATGTCATATACTCTGTTTTGGTCTTATTTTAAAACCTCTTGTTTCCAAGGCATTTGTCCATAAGCTTAATTTTGCATTTAATCCTTCATTAGTTTCATCAATTAAAACAATGCCATCCGCAAACGACATGCACCATAAACTTCCCCTGAATATGTTTAGTCAATTCATCTATGATCAATGCAAATAGATAAGGGTTAAGTGTTGAACCTTGGTGAAGACCCATAGTAACTATAAAATCTGAAGTCTCTCCCACTAGTGTTCTAACTTTGGTTGTTGCCCCCTCATATATATCCTTAATTGGGTTTATATTACCTATTTTGAACCCCTTTCTTTTCCGAGACCCACCATATTATCTCTTTAGGAAATCTATCATATGCCTTTTCTAGATAAATGAGCACCATATTAAGATCTTTCTTCTTGTCTCAGAACTTTTCTATCAATCATCTTAAAAGAAGTATAGCTTTCATGGTTGATCTCCTTGGCATAAAGCCAAATTGGTTCTCTGATACACTTGTTTCAAGTCATAATCTTTGTTCAATTATTCTATCCCAAAGTTTCATAGTGTGCAGCCCGTCATTAAATTATGGACCCTTAAGTCATTTCTTATTACTTCCACTCAAGTCCTTTTTGGTCTGCCCCTAGCTCTTCTAGCCCATTTGATTTGTAATAGATCACTTTTTCTAATAGGTGCTGTAAAAGGTCTTCTATGCATGTGACCAAATCATCTCAATATACTTTCTCTCGTTTTATCACCTATTGGAGCTATTCCTAGGTTCCTTTGTATGACTTTATTTCTAACCTTGTCCTTTCTACTTTTACCATTCTCCATCTTAATCATAACTTCAAGTAAGTATAACTAATAAAAAAAATCTATTTGCATAATTGAGAGGAGGATGTAGATGTTAGGGCTTCACTTATGGTATGTAAGAAATGGGAAAGGGTTTTCACCATAAAATCATTAATATGCTATAGTCACTTCCACCTTTGATGGACAACTTACTATTGCATTATTTAACCTAAAATCCTACATCTCTCACCAATTTGTGTACGTTAGCAAACCTATAACGTTGCCATCATCACTTCCACCGTTGATGTGTCAACTCACCAGTCATCATTAAACTTAAAGGCCATTGCCACCATCTCCAACAATCCTACCATTGTGTATTTCAAGAAATTGATGAGGGGTGATGCCAACCCACCAATCGAGAAAGAAAAACAATAAACAAGTGGTCATTGGTATCTCTCTCTTCTTCTTCTTTCCACCACATCCACTGTGTTACTGACACTATCACTGCGGTTTATCTCTTTTGCTCATTTCTATTCCCATAAGTCTCATGTATTATGAAACTTCCTAGGGTTTTGAAAGTCTAATGAGGTCACATGTTGAAACATACAAATACAACCTGGATGGTTGAACTGGTGAACTGTCACCCAAAAAGAAAATGGGTTGGCTACCATTCTGGGTTTTAAAACATTGGTTCCATTGGCATTGTGCCACCAAAAGATAACTACTTTTATTTACGTTATATTGAGTTGAGAACCTAGAGTGATGTTTGGTTGGGAAGAGTGTACTAGGAGAAGTTTTCTTTCCATTAGGTGTAATGATGTAATCAGATTTAAGAGGAAACATGGCATATTTTCAGAAAATGAGAGGCTTTCAATGTGGAATCTTGCAACTTTGAGAAGAAAAAAAGGAAAAAGGAGTCCAGTGAGGCATCTATATTGAACTGCAACTTGTGTTGATTAATCTTATTTGGTTAAAGTCTTTGATGATTATCATCAGAGTCATTGCCAAAAAAATTCCTTTGTGCTAAAATGAAGAATAATGCTGATAATGAAGCACTATTTGCTTTTCGTTTTTTTTCCTTTTTCTCTTTGTTTTTAAATCTCATGTGCATATGTTGTTTTTTAAAGCATTTACATACTTCAAAAGTTTGCACTTATCTCAAAATTGGAGGTCATTTCTTATTGATGCAGGCCGTTGGGAGTCTGATGAGCCACCATCACTTTTTGTATTTATCAACTGCAGCACACGTGAGCTTTCTATCATAGAGAAGTATGTGGTATGGGGTCTTTACTCTAATAGGCTCCTTGAAGTACTGTGTTTTGTGCCTGGAGTGATAACCTGATCCCAGTATGTCAGCTTTATACCTACCAGTAAAAATCAAAATCCTTCCATTGCTTGTATCCCTTTATCAACGTTATGCTAATTTAGGATACAAATACAGATATGGGAAATAGGCACTTGAGGTTGTCTCTGTTTGAACTTGCCACAAAATCTTGGCAAGTAATTTAAGGGTTGCCAAATTAAAAGTAGGGCATGTGAGGGTACTTGAGCACTAGATCATCTGTTTAATTTATTAACAAAAAATAGACAAAATAAAAAAAAAGATAATAAGAGTAACCTGGATACTTTTCGCCGAGGGTTTTTTGCCTTGTTCAGAGTCCAAGTGGCTGTTCTAGATGGTCAGTCCCTTCCAGAGACAACACTAGGTACATTCATCCTTTTCCAGCTGTTAAATCTGAAGCTTAGCTGCATGGGTAATTGGAATTCAGACCTGAACTACATAACAGAAGCTGCTGTGGATGTGCATCTAGCAGATTGGGGCTCATTATTGCTGAGTTTCTCAAGGCCCCAATTTGCAGGATGGACAACATTAGATCTGCCTCATCTCCTTTTTGATTGTAAAATAAGAAAAAACTTCATTGAAGAAAAAACATGATACAATTACAACATATAGTGTGATGAGATAGATTCAGTACTAAAAGTATTACACTCCTAACAACCACTGGAAAGGGAAAAGGCATCTCAAATGCATCCATTACTAAAAATCTGAAGATAAGATTCAGTACTAAAAGTTGGAGTCAAAGGAGTCTCTAGAAGCCTCTTAAAACTCTATCAAAACCAGTTGATGCAAGAGAAAAGAATCCAAAGGTGAAACTTTTTGAATTTTTATGTATTTTTGTATTCTTAAACAGCAGGGTATTTTGGACATTTTATGTATGTGGGACCCAGGTCTAATTGCTTGATTTTTCTAGTCATAGTTTAGTTGGGTTTAGAATTTTAGTCATTGGTAATTAGTGGAGTTATTGAGTTTTCTTATGATAGTGGCAATTCTGTAATTTTTCCTAGTTCTAGTAGGATTGGGCACCCCAATATATATATATATGTGTGTGTGTGTGTGTGTAAAGTGAAAAACGTGAAGATTATGTATGGATGGAGTTTATTTAAGATTTTACATCCTATGCCAAGCAATGTTTTAAAAGAAATGATACCGCTTTTCCCTTTGGGTGGTGGGTAAGTGGTTCAACTGTCTGGGTCAACTTATGAGTTCAAATGCAAACAATCCAGAGTAGGAAATAGGGTTATGAATCCTATTATTAACAATGGATATGTTGCTGATCCCATATGGTTGGGATAAGGGTTTGATGATGATGATGATGATGACTCATTTCTTAAAATAAAGAACAAAGACATGAATACATAACTCTTCATTTCTAAGCATGCTAGTACCATGCTTTAGTTATCTTTTATATTTATTTGTTTTAAAGCTAAGTATGGCTTTCAATACTTGCATCCCACCATTTCCATATTGGTAAATTTGGTATTGGTATCATAGTGTGAATATGCTAAGTAGGTTTGACTACCAAGGTGTCATAGGTGTTAATTATTTATAAATATGTTCCTTGATTCATCTAAATGAGCATACTATTGATTATAACATGGAGTGTTACATAGGTCTGTTGCCTTGCTTAATCGCCAAGATATTTTTTAAAGGCTCTCTTGGATACTTTTATATTCTTAAATTGAGATTATAGTAATAAAATAGATATTATTAAACTAAATCATTTGGTTGGAATACATGAAAACATTCAAATGGCTGGTTAAAGACATGACAATATCTGTCCAATGGGGTGGCTGATTACTTTGCGAAACGGGGGGTGCATAAGTCTGAACAATTTTGAGCTCGGTTGTAATTCTTTTTCTGGATGGGGCTGCATCTCACACTTCTGTTGGATGTTTATTGTAATTCTTTGATGTAACCATTCTCTTTGTAATAAATATTTTATCATTTATCAAAAAAACTAAATCATTTAGTTTTGCATAAGTCTGATTTCTTTTTATTACTTTTTTTTTTCATTTGTTAGGGTCCAATCGTGTATACTGCCTTGAACTCTCGAAGACTTCAAAGCATGAGCTGATAAACAATGTTTAGGAAACCAGACTGGACTAGCCAGTTGGGCCGGTTGAACCGTGACCCAATCCCTAGCCAGTTTGGTCATACCCAAAAAACCAGTTAAAATCAGCTGACTGGTTGGTTTTACTAGAGAACTGATGAACCGGTCCTGGTTTTATATAACTGCCCAGGTCACTAATTGAGTGGAATTTTCAAAATGTTAATGTCAAGATTTGAACCCCTGATCTTTTATTCATATATGATGTCTTGTTACTATTAAGCCATTCCTTTGTGCTTATTTATGCCTTTTTAATGTATATATTGCTTTAATACATACATATTTTAAAGAAAATCTAAGTTAAAGAGGCTTGAACCCTAGTAATTTGCTTTAAAAATTAAGGAACTAGCAATCTATCCACCACATTCAAGTGTGACTATTTTTTGTAAAATATAGTGTATGTAGTATTTAACTATTGATATGATATATTACTTCATCATGGTTTGGCCTCCGGTTTGACCATGGTTGAGCCTCTGAACCACGAACCTTTCCTTTTTCCAGTTTTATTCCTAGTCCTGTTTTCTGAACATTTCTGATAAGCATGGAAGAACTCAAAATTTTATTCAATGAACACATTGATTATTTTGATCATCATCATCATCATTTTCTTCTTCTTTTCTCCTTTTCCTAGGACAAAAATAGAGGCTCATCCCCTCTATTTTTTCTGAAATTTCTTTTCTATTTTCCATTTTTTTCATGAAATGTGGTTTTTCTATGTTTCAAATGATGCTTATACATTTTTTATGAAGATTACAATTAATAGTGAAAGATGGTTACTGCTTGCTATGGAACCTAAGGAATTACCCTAGGATTTATAGTTTTTACTCAAAAAAACCCATCACCTAGGCAACTAGGCAACAATTGATAGTGAAAGATGGGTTTTATTCAAAAAAAGCCCCATCATGGTATCACCTAGCTTTGCCTTGACACCTTGAAACAAATGCCTCTGGGGTCCACTCCCTTTGACAATCAGGAAATGCAAAGATAGCTTAACATGTGGAGCAATGAGTTCACATGGTCACAACACTTTCCTTTCTTCTAACCCTCCAATAAAACATGACTTATTACAACTAAATGAAAAACCAAATCACCTAGTAAGTGTTTACCTGGGTGATTTGGTTTAGATGTGTTCACATGGTCACAACGCTTGTGATCCTCTGAACACAAGCATACTATTAATCAAACGAAAAACCAAATTATTCAATGGGTGCATCCTACCGTTGCTACCCCAAATAACACACTAACAACCCATAAAATATGCAAAAAACAAAGATTGCCTCTAGGGTCTACTACCTTACTATGGCAATTTAGAAATATCAAGGTGGCGAAACACATTGAGCAATTACTTCAAAAGATCATGACACTTTCATGCAACCCTCCAATAAAACACAAACATTATTAAATAAGTGAAACCAAATCACCCAGTGAGTGCATGCTTGGGTGATTTGGTTTTGATGAGTTTACATGGTCATAAACACTTTTTTGCAACCTTACAATAAAACACAAAAATGCTACAAATCAAATGAAAAATTAAATAACCCAGTGATTACATGCCTTCTTCTACCCTAAATTATACAAAAGAAAATCCACTAACATACAAAAAATAGAGGTAGTCAATAGAAAAATCAAATGACCTAGTGAGTGCATGCTTGGGTGATTTGATTCCGATGAGTTCATGTGGTCACAACACTTTCTTATGACCTTCCAATAATTCATGAACATGCTAATATTCGAATTTAAAACCAAATTACCTTGTGAGTAATTGCTTAGGTGATTTGGTTTTGATAATTCCACATGGTCACAACACTTTTTTGCAACCCTCCAATAAAACATAGACATTCTATCAATCAAATGCAAGATGAAATTACCCAATGAGTGGATGCTTGTTGTTGCTACCCCAAGTGATACATGAACCATCTGCTATCATATGATAAAATGGAGACTACCTCTAGGATCCACTCTACCTTACTAGGAATATCAAGAAATATGAAAGTAGCCTCACATGTGGAGCAATGAGTTCACATAATCGTAACACTTTCTTGTGGCATCTAAAAAAACCTAGACATGTTATAAGTCAAAGGATAAACCAAATCACCCAGTGAGTGCATGCCTAGGTGATTTGGTTTTAATGAGTTCCACATAATCACAACAATTTCGTGCAACCATCGAATAAAACACAAACATGCTGTTATCAATCAAATAAAAACCAAATAACCTATCGAAGGCATGTCTACTATTGCTACACGAAATGATACAAGAACAACCCACTATCATATAAAATAGAGACTACCTCTAGGATATCCTACCTAACTATGATAATCAAGTAATACCAAGGTAGGTTAAAATGTAGAGTGATGCCTAGCCTATAAGGTGCTCATGGAGGGTTGCCCCGCTTAATTGCCAAGATATGCTTTTTCATGGTGCTCTTGGATACTTTTATATTCTTAACATTCTAAGATTATAATAAAACTTACATTATTAAACTAAATTATTTAATCCAAGTTAAAATACTAGTTTCTTTTTAAAATACCATAGCAATGCTCTTTGACATATGAAAATAAATTTCAACTCTTGGAAAAACATATCTTAAAGAAAATAGCATTTCAAGTCTATTACTTTCACTGTTTCAAATACAATACTATAATATAATTGTATTTAATAGAAGGGTTGCTTGTAAAAATATTATTGGGAACTAAAGAAGGCCATGATTTTATGTTAATAAAAAATTTAAGATAGATGCTAATGAAATTATGAAAAAGAGAAAATAATTAGGGGTGGAGCCCCTGTTATATCTAATATGCAATGTTAAGAGAATGTAGTTGCAGAAAAAAGAAGCAATCTCTTTTATTCTTCTCTTCTCTCTCTATCACCGTCTCCTCAAAGCCCTTGGATCTTTTATGCTTTAACAGTAAAACCCTAAAAAGATACTCAAGTAAAATATTTTACATATGATAGTACAGGCCTTTATAAAGTCCATATATGTCAAGGTTTGGGGTTTAAGGTAGATCTTTGCCCTAGATCCATATCACCCACAGTAATGGAGCAAAATTCTTTTTATTTGTATTGCTCTAGAAAAGACACATCAGGATCCATGTTGTTGAGAGTTTGTCAAAAGTTTTAGTGCCAGCTGCCAACCTGATTTGTATTGCTCTAGAGAATTAGTTTAAACTTATGTGCCTAATAGAATTGGTTTATTTGCAATTTAAGAGCTTAGCATTTTTTATGTGACTGCTTCTGCCAATCTACATAAACTTTCTTGTTCAACTTGCCAGTCTACATAAGTTTAAACTTACGTGCCTAATATAATTGGTTTGTTTGCAACTAAGAGCTTAGAATTTTTTATGTGGTTACTTTTTCTAGTCAACATAAACTTTCTTATTCAACTTGCTTAATTGACTAAGTTGTTTAATTCATGCCTATGTCCATAATAGATTTCTTGTTAATTGATTCTATGCTTGGCATATGCAGGAAAGTTTTGCTAAATCCACCCCTGTTCTCCTTTTCAATCTGGAACTTGATACACTGCGGTATTATTATATTACACTACTAGAATTTTCAGGAAGAAATGTATCTTCATATAATTTACATTGTTTTTGTTCATACAATATAGCTACTTAAATTTTGCAGTGCGGACTTGGGACTTTTGGGATTTCCATCCAAGGATTTGCACTATCGGTTTCTTTCTCAGTTTGTCCCTGTTTTCTATATTCGGATAAGAGAGTACTCGAAGGTATTTCGTGTATTATTCTCACTCACCCTTTTCAATATGTTGATTAATCCCTTTGTTTATCTTAATGCTGAAGACAGTTGCTGTTGCACCGTATGTTGTAAACTACAGTGGAGCTCTATTCCGCCAATATCCTGGTAAGATATGGATATTTTTACTTGAAAACTGAATCCTCTATGATAATCATATGGGTTCTAATTCCAAATCCTAATTTCAGACATTGTCAGTATGTCATCCTTCACCGGGAACGATCACCCAATAAAATATACTTCCATTCACTCCTTGCCTAGCTAATGCATTAGGTAAACTATTGGGTGATTTCTGTGTCCATATAAAAGTAACCCACAGTTCCCTAGTCATATGTACTGTTTATACACACACACACACACACACACTCTCTCTCTCTCTCTCTCTAATGCATTAGCTAAGGAGTGAATGGAAGTATATATATATATATATGTATGTATGAACTATATCTACTTATTGTATGTTGCCTGGACCTTTTTTTTTCTTTAGTTGCTGTCTCTTCTCTCTAATTCTTTCCTTTGCTATTTGCAATATTGGGTTTTAGGTCCTTTATGGTTGAGAATCAAGACTTTAGTTGTGTTTCAGTTTCCTTTTGGGGGGTGTTCTTTTTTTGGATTTGGAGAGGGGGAAGGTTGGTCAATGGGATTTTGGTTCCCATTGACGAAGAATCCCATGTTCTTTTTTCAGCTTTATGTGGGGACCAGGGAAAGTTTATTTTCCTGGGTATCACTTACCCAGGAAAGTGATACCCATCTCCTAGGTGGGTAAATAACTTTCCCACATAAAGGGAAAGTTGCCAACACTTGAACGGGACAAAAATGCCCCTTTTAATAATGGATTTCTATGGCTAAAATGGCCATTGCCTTATTTACCTGAGAAACAAAAGAACATGAGTAAATGCACTTACCTGGGTAAGTGTTTCCCAGGAAAAACTTACCCAGGTAATTGCATTTACCCGGGTAAGTAACTTACCGAAAAGCGAATGGGGCCTTGGTCTAAAAGATCTCTTTCCTGTAATTGTTTTCTGTTGTGGTCAATCTATATTCGCAGCTCCAATTGCTTTGACCCCCAAATCACCTGGTACTTGTGCAGGACCTTGGCAGGTGATGCTTAAACAAGCAGATGGTTCCTATGCTTGCATAGCAGAAAGTGAAACCCGTTTCACATTGGGTGAAGTAAATTTTAGTCTAACCTAGCTGATCCAATTTCTGCCTCCGGCTAATGATTTTTCATTTGTTCTTTATTTACTATATGTCATCCTTTATGCTGTTAGACAAAGGAAGAACTGCTGAGGGTTCTTGGTCTACAAGAAGAACAGGGAAGTTCATTGGAATTTCTCCGAAGGGGCTATAAGGTCTATCTCTCTCTCTCTCTTAATTCTTCCTTATCTATGTCATGTCTATCATTTGAGACAGTTACTGAATCATTCTTTTGACCTTCATTGGTTTCCAATAGCAAATATGATGTCTTCACGTCTTCACACTTGCATCTGAGGTTTCTAATATTCATATAAATCCTGATTTTTGTTGATGTTTATGTCTTGCTACTTAGTATTTGTGCTTTTGCTTTGATATCTTGCTTGCAGCCCATTTTGAAGCAAGTATCAGTATAGGGAAAAATTCTATCAAGGATTGAGGTTCAAGTTCACTAACAGCATTGTTGTATATGTATCATACATGACAAAGTAGTCGCATTCAATGGGTTTGACCTAGGAGATCCCCACTCATAAGAAACTCTCTCAATTGGATGGTTGCAATAATCTCATGTATAATTTTGTTTTGACTGTTCATCACATTTTTTCTTTTCCTCAGAAAATTTGTCATATGAGATCATCCAATTGAGTTCAATATGGTAGGTTAGATTACTTAATCTTTTACCTATTAAATGGTGGATGTTGACCCCTTGGATGTGCACCATGTAAACAGCTGTGCTGTTATGCAAGGTTCAATTTTTTTTTGATAGATTGCAAGGTTCAATATATATATATATTTGATAGATTGCAAGGTTCAAAATGTTGCAATGCATTATACCATATTGCATGACAAATATCAGTTTTTGAACCTTGGGATATGCTAAATACTAGGAATTAGGGACTTCTGTCAAGTTTAAATAGTATTAGGTGTTAAATAATTGTGGACAGATGGTTACAAACTGAACAGAACGGAATGGCAAAACAGGATTCATGTAGCCAACATCATATAGTTGGGACAAGGCTTAGGTGGTGAGATGGTTATTAACTGAAAAGTTTACAAAACTCTGAGTATCGATGCTTTCATTATCTAGCATATCGATATTTTGAACCTTGCTGTAATGTATATTTAACATTTAGAAGCTCAGGTACAAATTCCTTTAAATTCTGCAAATGTGCATGTGTTGGTTTTGCTTGATATGTCATTTCTTATATTGGTTAACCAATTGGTCACTCTTCGGGAACTTGTATTTCATTTTGGAGCATATACAATGTATAAAGTTTCAAATTTTAAATACATGTCACAGTTGCTTGAAAATCCACCTAGTTTTACCATGTAATCTGATATTACAGGCTTCAACATGGTGGGAAGAAGATGCCGATTTGGAGTTGTCTTCTGCATGGCGTAGTTGAGCTCATCAGCTAAAAACTGAAGAGGAATAAGATCTTGGGGTGTAAGGTTAAAGACAAGGGATCTTGACGTCCAAAATATCAGTTGCCAAATTGGAGCGAGGCCCAAGGTTCTTGGACTTGTTTCCAGACAAGCCAATTAGCCAGACTCGTGTCTTCCATGTGTTAATTCTTTATTCATTCAGTATTTATAGTATTATTAATTATTTCTCAGTGTGTATATACCTTTTTTATGCTTTGTATTCTCGTTTTTCCCTTCCATTTGATGAATTAACTAATATGCTTCTAATGCCAAAGTCCCCCACCCCCGAAGAGTAGCATGTAAGTTCTATACCTTGTTTCTTGGTTTTGTATATTCTGGGGAATTCACTATTTGCATTCTCATTATTATGCTCCAGTTGAATCTCTCTCTCACCTATTTTAAATCCTCAAGGATCCACTGTGAGCCATATCTCAGCTTTACAGAGCACTTTTCGTCAGAAAGTGAAGTTCCTTCAGCAGTAACATCTAAGCGTGTTTAGAGTTTCGTCTCCATTTTTTCATTCTACCAAGTTTGACTATAATTTATCACCTGTGACTGTGAGGCATAATTCACTAACTCAGCAATGCATCACCTGGCTTGGGAGGCGCGTTTATTTACTTCTATTTTTTCCTTTGATATGCATTATGTTTATTTACTTATGTTTCTGGGGTTTTTCACCGAATAAAATTTCATGACTTTCTGCGTGGGGTCTACCTTACAATGCTAGAAGCTTCTGCGGGAAACCCTCTCAAACAGGGCATCAAGTGTGGTGTAGCACTGTAGCTACATTTGCTTTAAGCCTAATCTCCACTCCCCATAATGGAAGAAGAATGATGCTCGAAGCTAAGGGTGTAGCTTGGGCGGGTTAGGGTTGGGATCTTGTCAAATTTTGAATGGCCCAACCTGAAGCCCGAACCCAAAGCAGTGTAAAATTAACGCCAACCTGCACCCCTACGTGATGCCCAGAAATTATGGATAAATCTAGTAATCTACGACAACACAACTGAAAGTCTGAAATGGTGGTGACCCTAATCACCACCAGGTCGGGCATAAAAGGAATCGTACTATGAATTATGAAAGACATCTTACCAAAAAGAGAATTATGAAAGACAGACAACCCAAAATAGTTTAAGAACATTGCACCAGCCGGGAATCGAACCCGGGTCTGTACCGTGGCAGGGTACTATTCTACCACTAGACCACTAGTGCTGGAGGTTCGAAGGTATCACGTTAGGTTATAAATCCAATATAAATTCAAAGCAACACTGTTACCATTATATAATTCACACTCGAGCATTAAATTTGCTATCGTCCATTATCTTTGGCTTGCTTTTACTGTAAAAGGGGTTTTATTATACAGACGACAAAACAAGAGTACAAGACAAAAAAAAACGTGCTATGGCATATGGTAGGAATAAACTTTATTTTTTAGCTTTTTTTAATCTAACACGGAATAGATGATCACCTACGTTCTTCTCATTGCATAAATCTACCCGTTTCTCTGTGTTTCCATGCAAATAACCCAAGCTTATATTTGTACGTTAAATTTATGATATCGCGAGAGTTTTGACCAATAAAGCATCTTCGTCAATTTTGATAAATACCATCTGATGATTAATCACCTCTTTTGGGATATAATTGATTGGCCGTAAATTTTTTCAGTATTATGTCTTTTTTGTATCATAGTTGAACTCATAAAAAGAAAAAAAGAAAAAATGAGAATGCAACACTATATTTTTAAAAACTGCCTATACGGCTATACCATTGAGCTAATTACAAGTGGGTTTCGACTTGTGGAAGAATCACAGGGATCAACACCCTTTTGTGCGGTATCATACCATCATATAACTTTAATTCATTTTACCTCACAAGTCATTACAATTTTTTTAGGGTTATTATTTAAAAATTCCTTTAATTTTTTTCTTCCATCTATTAGCATATATTAAAACAAAGGTAGTCACGCCAAATGATCTCTCCTTGCTCTTTTACCCCAATCTTGCAACTTTACATGGTGTTTGGAAGCATGGGTGCTTGGGACCGATTTTCAAGAAAAAACACCCATGCTTTCAAGACCTGTTTTTCACAAAAAAAAAAAGAATAAAAAACATTTCTACCATGTAGGCAATGAGTAACAGTATGCTATTTGGTAAGGTGATTTTCATCACCGTTTTTCATGTATGTGCTAACAGGTAAGCACCACATAGGATACACATCAGTCAACTGTTGGGGGAAATGGCTCACCGATGCATGAAATGCCAAATTTGGTGTTTCATGCATCGATGGGGTCCTGATGTTTTAATAATTGGCTGAACCAAACAATGAAATGCATGGCCGTCTGTTAAAACACCTATGTGGATCCAATATGGCATCGTTTTTTTCTGAAAAACGGCCACGGTTCCAAACATCCCCCTAGAGGGTCTTTATTACTCCCTTTCCAAGCCTCTAGAGTTGTTGCCACCTCAATAGGACCTCTTTGCGATTATAACCCCAATTCAATCTTGGTTCTACTATGATTCCACAAACGTGATAGAGATGGAAACTATCCAAAACAACTTAATGTTTCTGAATTGATTGGGATGGAAACTATCCGAGAAAACATCCCTTCATTATGGAAACCTCTATTCCTCCTATCGCTTTCTCAATTCTATAATTGTTTCAAACCTTCCTTTTGGACATCAAAATACCATCACCAAGGGTTTTTTTTCTTCCTCCTTTCTATTCAGTTTTTGAATCTTCATTTTATATACAAAAACAAGGGCTTTGTCCCATTCTCTCAACCTATTAAGTTTTTTTTTTCCTATGGCTCAGTTTGGAAAGAGTACTACAAATACAAATATGTACAGTACAAATACATGCAAAATAATAAAAAATATAAGATTTTGTACTCTACAAATTTGCATTTATACTCCTTTCAAACTGAACCTATGAGATTCATTGCATACTTTGTCAAAGATTTCATATTTTAATCTCCCATCTCTTCAACCCCTTTTAATGGAAGCACTTTTGATTTTATCATTATCGCTACAGTAATGCATCTTTTATTATCAATGCTTTCCATGAAAACAATCTCTCATAACCTTAGAGTGAAAATAAGCTGCAGCTCTTCTATATTCAAGGGTTTTTAATTTTCTAATGGTTTGAAGTAGAGGTTGCAGAAAGATGGATTTAACTAGCGGTGTTGGGATTAGGCTAAAGTTTATGATGCAGAGTTCAAGAAGAATTGGTGGGGAGCAACCCATAAACAATAATTATTCGAATTCTTGGACTGGGTGATTGACATTAATTCGGATGTTTCAGGAGCTTTGGTGATGTTGAAAAGTGAGAGTAAGGACATTCTGCAAGCATGGTTTTCAAAACTGGACCGGATCGGACGGTTAGATTAGAAAAACTGGTAACTGGTCTTCTATTTACCCCAGAATTGATATTTTGACAAAAAACCGTTGATTTGGTTAGCAAACCATTGATCCGGACAGTCAAATGAATTATTTGCATCGTTTATCAGTTTTTAATTGTTTTTTATTTTTTTAATTTTTTTATTAGAATAAACCATCCATTCGGTTTGAACCATCAGACCGTTTGACCCAGAAACTGGACCCCTAAACAGTTCCGATCAATGCTTTTCTATTTGTGGTTCATCGTTTTTGGTTTCCGAACAAAGGAGGGAATGGACTGAGCCCTGTTAAAAGGGATTCGCTGAACACGGTTGTGGAATTCTCAAACAAACCTCCGAGATCCACATTACTAACAGCGGTGACTATGGATGTTCCTTATGGATGTAGTGACGACGGTGAAAAACATTATTTTTCACCGCGGAATAAAAATTAAAATCCATATAAGTTTCATTTAAAAATAACAAATTTTCACAAACATTAATAGGAAATTAGTAAAACTTAATAATAACTTAATAGTTTTAAAATCATTTTTGATTAATTTAAAACTCCACTAAAAATAATGTACTTAATAAATGTATTAACTTATAAATAAAAATTAAAATTTTGATGAATTTATAAACAAAATAAATAAATAAATTGACTGCTATCACTAGAGGTGCAACTTGGATTTCAATTGATAAAATTAATGCTCAAGTCGGACTTGAATGGACTTGGCTCCATTGAAAATGTCGAAGGGAGATGTTCTCAATGTGGGATTGAATGGTCTGACCGCCCAGTTTGAATGGACAGCCTGGACAGCCTGTTCTGACTTAAAAAATAAATAAAATAAAAAATGATAAAAAATCATTGTTCAGTTCGGCTGCATGGGTCAACGGGTTACTGACCAAATCAACAGTTTTTGGCAAAAAAAAAACAGTTTTAGGGTGAAATAGAACCAGTTACTTGACTGGTAAATGGGTCAACCGGTCCAACCATCCAGTCCGATCCGGCTTTCAAAACCATGACTTATACTCAAAAAGATCCTAATATATTTACGTTATGTAAATAAATACTGTGAACGCTCTATGGTCTAAACTGCACACACACACTAGAGCAATTGATGTTTTCAATTGATACAGAAATTCAATCTTGGATGTACAAAAGTGGCATACTCCAATTTTCTTTTTTTTTTTCCTGTTATTATTCCCTGAATGAGACTGAAATTTGGTCATGGCCAAGGGCAACAGCAGCTTGGCAAAAATTCACTACCATGTTCATGTAACCTCCAATTTCTTTTATACAGGCCGCTACTCGTCATCGTCACCACCATTTTCATACATTGCTATCCAAGAACCCCTTCAGAAGAAACAACCCTTCATCTGATATACTCCTCCGCACTCGAGTTTTGGAAATCTCTATTCGAGGTGGTGGATCAGGGGAGAAACACACTACAACAACTGTCAGGTTATCACATGTGTTGCGCTTGAGCGCCTCTCTAACCAACTCCCTTGAGCATCTTTCAGGATCATTGTGCACCATCAGCTCTTTCCTCACCATTGTCACTGCACACTGGCTGCTCATCACATCCCACAGCCCATCACACCCCATTATCAAAAATTCATCTTCCTCGCTCAGCACCGTCTCTTTCAACTCTGGCTCTGCACTTAACGGGCAGGCAGAGCCTTTTGGTCCCTTCATGTGCCAATCTCCAAGGGCCCGTGCCACTGATAGTTGGCCATTAAGATAGCCATCATAAATGATTCCTCCCAGTTTCTCAATTCTCAGTCTTTCAGAGGTGCAGTTGGGTTTGTGGTCATTGGACAGTTCAATTGCTCTTCCTCGTTTTCCCAACACAGCCCGGCAATCCCCAGCATTGGCAATTAGCATGGTCCTGCATCTCAGAAATATGGCAGAAGCAAACAAAATATCAAACATTGACTGAAAAAAAATGCCAAACCATTTCATGCTTCCACCCAAAAAAGAAGATGAAGAATGGGGATGATGATTACATGATGTCTACCATTAAGGGAAAAATATAAAGGAATACAATAAAAACGTATGGTGGTATATGCCCAATTAACTTTGTCAGCAGGCAATAAGGGCCAAAATTAACAATCTGACCAGATGATCCCGTTGATTCAGTCTATGTTCTATGGTGAAGAGTCTAAGTTGGATGGTTACATCAACCAATGAAGATATTTCTGGCATGGAAGTATTCTATCTAGTAGAGGGTGGTAGTTTCTTATAATCTGCCAATGCTTGTGATTTGTGAAGATACTCCAGGAGATGAAAGTCATGGTGAACCCTAAGTGCTAGGGACAGCACTAGAAAAGTTGCAACTAAGGTCATGCTAAAGGTGCTCCATAATCCAACATCGGGAGGATAGATGGTTATATACATACTGACCAGATCACGGACAACAGAACCCTGGATAATAAAAGTAGTGCTTTTCACAATAATATTTGAAATCCCCTTCATTAGAATTGTTCTCACCAAAAGCCACAGAAGCATCCATGTTCATCCATGGCCTCAACCACTATATAGTGTAGCAAACGGGGCCATTACCCAATGCTGGCCCCTGCCATCCAGGTCTTGGGAGGGACGGGTTGAATAGTGGATACAGACCTAACCTCCATTTTTAGCAGAGTGTCCACTCTCAGACTTAAACCAGCATTGTCATGCTTGTCAGCCCAAGGTTTATTAATTAATTTATTTTTCTTTTGTGACAAATTATGGAAACAAAACTACATCATCAGGCAAGATTTCACCACCAGAACAAGCAGAATGCACTAATTTTCATCAATTTGAAGAAATCCAAATGCCCTTAAAAGTCCAAGCTTATGCAATAAAAAAAAGAAGAAAAAATAAAAAAGTATTTGTGTCCCTCACCTTCCCAAAATAAGAGCAGTTAGAGCTGTGGTGCCAGATGTTTCGTCAAGAGAATGGGCATCTGCAAATGCATGATCAACTCTTACAAATGCACTCTTAAGAGCCTTTTTCACACAAGTAGGGAAATGTGAGTCCTCAACTATAAACTTAAGAAGGTTCTTTCTGACAAATGATGCAGCATCTGAACCGCCATGGCCATCAAATACCTGGGAAAAAACACTGAACCTCAGTCATGAAAAGAAAGAATGCTATGACAGAAAAGAATGCAAGATCACCAGCACATACTCATTCTCAGCCAGTTGGGATTGGACACTTCTTAGATTGTACATTGCCCAGATAAAATTGTTAGGGGGTTTTAACCATCTAATGATGCACCCATCTACAACTGATAGAGTTTATGCATTTATGCCAAACGGTCTAACAGGACTGTGATTGGATTATTAGGTGGTTACGGGTCTCAGAGTATTCTGACAGTTTAAGTGGAGACTGGATGGTACCAAAATATAATGGTCTTCATATATAAAAATCATGATTAAATTGAACATTAGAAGATTACTAGTTAGTAGATGAGGATAAACATAATTCAATTTAGCCATCAAACCTTAGCTGTAACTTACGTACCCCATAGAAAGCCCCTGGAGAAGGGAAGTCGACATTTGTGTCAAGATGTTCGAGGAGATTATCTATACAGAGGTGTTCATCTTCCATGTATTGTTTTGGTCCAATCTCAGAACAGCTTCCTGAACGAAAGAAAGGTAAAAAGCCAGATTTTCCAGTTGATGGTGACTTTACGCCAAAAGCTCCAGTATCCAATTCCTGGACAGAGGGGCGAGAAGGAGATTATGTTGAAGAAATAGATAAAACATGAGCATTACAGAAGAAAGGTAAGAAAATAAATGAATGCAAGTTTGGGCTCAAAGTAATGAATAAATGACATAATATAAAATGTTAAAAGCGTGATAACTCACTTCAGCGTTAGGAGCCAACCGAGCGGAACTAATGCAATGTCGCATAAGAGAAAGGTTCCGTGGAGGTTTCCCGATATTCGTCTGTTTCGGGCTCTTCATTGCTTCGGAATTCTTATCTTCCAAGGAAGATGCATTGTCCTTACTGTACCCGCCCTTTAATACTGTGAATGGAGGTGACAAATCAGTCCCTGCAGCCATGTTCCCTTCCTTAACATAAATTTACTTCTTTAAAGCAAAACCCAAACCCAAATACCTTATTGCTGAATCTTATAATCTCTACTGTCTCTTCAGTTATGCCCCTCAAAATCCTGGAAGACCTAATTCTACCATAATTCGAATGAAGAAGATAAACACCCCAGACAAAGGTTCAATTCTCTTAATCTCAATCTTTTTGAAATGCAGTTCTTTTGGAGACCTAATAATCATTAAAAAAATGTGTATTCTGAAAAATGAAACCAGGAAACCGTTGACTCAAAATTGGTTCTTCGATACTCTCCCGAATTCTTTATGAAACAATTTCAAATTTGTTCAAATGCCTTGGCAATTCCAGACATCCGAAACTCATGAAATCCAGAATATAAACATAGATCGCATTTCGTAAATACCATATCCTTCCTTCCGTTCCACTCCCGCTCCATCAGACAGCCTCCAAATGATAAGAAAACCAAAAGAAAGTTTCGAACTCCCCACATAAAAGCCTAAATGGTCATCCCCGTCCAAGCTTCAACCAAATTCAGGTCATAATTCACAAAATTCACCAAACCTCCTGTGAGAAGCGAGAATTCGCGGATATAAAACGACATAATCCGAAGCAGAAAGGCAGAGAAGCCTAGGTAACCAATAAATGGGGATCCCTGCATAAAGCTACAGACCACGGGAAGGCAGAAAAATATTAAATATCCACAGATCAGCGCGACAGAAATTATACGTACTTGACCCTTTTTATCCCTGCCAGGAGCATAAGAAACCCTAACCTAAATGGGGATCCCTGCATAAATTTCGAAGAGAGGAAGAGAGGGGGGGGGAGGGAGAGAAACGCAGAAATCGAAGCTTTAGAGAGGAAAAATGGAGGATTAGAGAGAAAATACCAAAAATGAAAAAAGCCGACTTTCTTTTATATGATTGGCGACCGGGGATACCAGGTTCTCCGCTGGCTCTCGTTGCTGCCGAAGGTTTGATTACGTAACGAAACGTGTCAGTTCGTTAGTGGAGGATCCTCTAGTTGACCGGATTGCCTCCAGTTAGTTAATGGGGTCAGATTTCGGATGTGGATCGGAGTCAGCGGACGGCGAAATAGTGTTCCTCGCCTTTTCCCGCTTCAAATATAACAGGAAGAAAAGTAGTTAACGGCCGTTAACGACGTTAAGCAACGGATTCTCCGGGAGACCGGAGACATTTGGCATGCAGAAAGAAATTGGAAGGGAGGATTTTGTGGCTCAGAGCTTATCGTTTCTTCTGCTTTTCAACTCAACAACGAAGGAATTCACATCTGCCCCTACAGAATGCGCCCCAAAATCGTTCCACAGCATATCTCAACAGTGCATTAGAAATATCTACCATCTTTCCAATAATAAGTACGGAAGATGTTCTCAATACACGCCATGTCGGACGATTTTAGGGCGTGTTCTGTGGGGTCAGATGTTAATCTAACGAATACCCATCAGGCATTGATTTTGACGATAATGACGAGTGTCCCGAATAGAATTGTAAATTTATAGGATCATATGATTCGATCCGAATTCTGATTTTATTTTGTTGGATTTGAATATTTTTATTTTGGATTTTTGTATGAATAATATGATTCAATTAAAAATCAGATTAAACTTAAATCATCCTTTTATATATTTATTAGTAAGTGTGTATGTACTTTGCACATGACAATTCTAAATAATGATAATAATTATAAAATATATCAAAATTTTTTATAAACATGTATTTTTTATTTTTTGTTTTTATATTTTATATTTTTTATTATTATTAATCATATGTAGATTGTAAAATCTAAATTTGATTATATAAACACCTCATCCAAATATGTGATAATCCAATTAGGTTGTGAAATTTCAAGTATCATTAATAGGCCTACCTGTTTGGCTAGACCCTTCTTTTTGTAATGTTTTATCTTTTTTTTATTTATCAAAATAAATGTAAGATTTAAATAGAGGAAACTGAATGAAGTAAAAAGTAGCAATCAATATACAATTACCTTACAATTAAATAGGGATTAAATTCAAAAATGAGTATTTTAGTCAAAAGAAAGTTCTACAATCTTATTCATATTTTTAATATATAGTAGTGTAAATACAAAATTATAGATGTATTCATTTTTTTTTTGTATTTTTGTGTGTAAAAATAATTTTGATATGTTACATTTACTTTTTGTTCAATACAATAAATATATGATATTATACATGTGTTTGAATGTTTTTTTTTTTTTGCAAAAATTTATGTATCTTTTCATTTTTTATATTTTTGTATTTTATTAACCTTTATTATGCATTTATGACATTAAAGGTTAACACATTTAACCCAAAAGTTGAATTATTTATTATTAATTTTTATATTTCATTTTTGGTTGATTCTAAATTGTGCATTTCATTTTCATTATCAATAAAAAGTAATTCTTATTTACTACACTTAATAAAAATATCATAAATGTGTCTATTTTTTTCTATATTTTTTGTAATTTTCTATATTTATTTCTATTTTAAAAAGGGAAAATCTATGCTATGGAAAGGGTTAATAAGGGTTATCTCAGGTAACCGGTTTTAAAACCAAGAATTTAAATCACATTTCAAAACAGAAATCCATTTCAAGATAAGAAAGATGTTAAAGTCTTCACAGTCACCCTCCCCCTTCTCTCTTTCTCTCCAAATTCCAACCCCCATGCCTTGCATGGCTGCACCATTCTCTCATTTCAAAAGCAACTGCCTCAATCGTTCACTTTAATTTCATGGCAGTTGTTCCTATTTCAATTCCACATTTTAGGCAAATGCAATTGCTCAGCAGGCTTCAATTGCTCACTGGCAAAGCATTGTGAAAAGCCTGAATAGTTATTTGAAGACTTTGAGAGCTAATTAGGTGAGTTCTGTATCAAAAATGATATTCCCATTGTATTACTTGGTTTGAACTTTTCAGTTTGGTATTGACTTTATCTCTTGGTTTGGTTGGTGGTCATGCAGGGCTATGCTGAACTTCTCGAGGGAGATGACGTAAATATTCCAGCATGGTTTTCATTCAACTCTAAGGATGGTGTCAATGTAGTTGGTGGAGATTCTTTTCTTGAATGTGCATCGATCTGTTGCTGATTCATGTAAGAAGGCTGTTGCTGTTGTAATTAACTGCATTCCTCCAAGGTTTATTCATGATCTTGTTTTATTAGTTGGTAAAGTATATATAATCCTCTTCCTCTATGTGAATCCATTGAACAATGCATATATTTTTCCCAAAAAAGACCAGAGCTCTGTTATTTTTCACCAGATAACACTGTTGAATACTTGTTTGTTTCATTATGTGTGTTGTGTTGGGGGTGACACACCTTATCACCTCTTCTTTGTATTACCCTTATCTCTTTTAATAAAACATGCATTTTCCTTTAACAGAAAGAATAAACTCTCCTTGTTTGACCGGCTAACCCCACAGGTGACATCTAAACCGATACTTATTTATCCAAACAGTGGTGAGACTTATCACTTATGACCCTGATCACAAGGAGTGGGTAGTAAGTTTCCTCTTAATCTTTTCTATTAAATTCTTACAAGTTACAATATTTTTGATTTGCAACACTMARGATATTGGCTTGGGGGGACCATTGATGTTCTTTGAATAGGACATGAATTGTGCTCCCCATTCCCTAAGTTCACAATTTGTTTTTTCTTATTATGTAAAACTGCCATATAATTGGACAATTAAGTTGCAGCCTTTGTATCTTTTAATGTATGTTGTCCATTAATTTGATGGATAGTACTAATCATGCATCTACTTCTTTTTGTAGTTTTACACAAGGGCCACCTGGGTTTTGATGTGTAAAATTCACTCACTAAAAAAGAAAAACCATTTCTCTGTGTAGGCAAGAAATTGAACCTTCTTGCCAAATGTCCAACCTGGGTACCTACCCTCCTATTGGTGTGAGGTTGAGCTCAAAATCCAGACAATCTGATCTACAATCACTATCAGCAGTTTTGGGCAATAAGCTTTTCAAGTTGGGGTCCTGCTACGCATACTTGGTCATATCCTTTTGTGTATTATGAAAGAGAGGAAATTTTGGTGCTTCATTCATTAAGTGCTTTGACAAAAATCTCTCTTTTAATGCTATATAACCCCTTCTACCCTATGCTGCCTTCATGCATTATCATCTAGTTCTGAAAATGTGAAACGAAATAAACATGTTAATTACTAGTCCTGATCATATTGTGACAAACAGGTTAAGATGCTGGTTGATGTAATTAATCACATCTTATTTGCCTTGTCGTTGCTCTTTTTTCATAAAGGAATCTACTGGAGTGTCAGATGAAGATTTTATTTCATATGTAAGTAAATGGCGTGAGGTCTGGGATTCCCTCATAGGAGGCTGCTGCAGGACAGCCCCCATCCATATCTGGAGCATTATCCAAGTAGTCTTTTGTCTTACCATCGCTACAGTAGTAACAATTCACCGGCTTAGAGTCCTATCTTGAGATGTAAATAAGAAACAGAAAAGGGCTAGAATTTGAAGTTTTCCTTGTCGCTTTTTTTGGTTGCTTGTAATAAGTTATCAGACTCTTGATTAACTGTGAGGTTGGAATTTTACAAAAAATTTTCCTGGTCTCTGCTTTTTCCTATGTAAGACTAAAAGTATATATAGATCTTTAGCCTTTTACCTTCTTTTAAAAAGCTTTTTGTGGTCAGGACTCAGGAAATAACTTATTCAAGAGATTTATTATATAGTGTGGGCAACCATTCTCTTTCCCCCTTCTTACGTTGGGGATGATGGGGTAATTGGGTTGTCTATTTTTGACATGACAAGAGAAGGTAGTTCTATCATTTAACATCTATGTGTGGTAAACTAATTTCTTCCGGTCTCGGATTATGAATGGAGGCTGGATGATTCCATGGCTCATTGACTTACCTTCGGTGTCCGATGATGGAATGATGGATCGCACCCCCTAAATGACTCGTATAAACAAAGTTCTCCACATCAGACATGCACATTGATAGATATTAGCCTCATAGGTTCCTCAAATGCTAATTCAGTCAATGGAATAATGTGCTAGCTTGGGTTTCTAGACCTTACTCATCAACATCGAGCAAAGCATTAGATAGACCATCAGGCACATGGCTTTCATCCTTGAGCTTGCACGCTACAGCATGTGCATGTCTTTTTGTCAAGGCATGAGGGACCCCAAAAACCCTTTCCTTTCTACTTCCTTGCTTAGCAGATGAACTTATCTTTTCCACATGATAATCGACATCATATGAACATTAAAAATGAGAAAAAATAACATTTCTTCTTTTGTTTTGGACAAAATTTCTTCCTACTTTTGATAGATAACATCCAAACATTTTTAACTAAAAAAATAATAACAAAAGAGTTGATGTTCAAAAAAGTGTTGTAACAACCTGAAAAACAGAACTATAAAAAAGCAACAATAGGAAACATCATTCCTTCTTGAATTCACATTATATTAGATGTACATCAATGTCTAGAAATGATACTGAATGCCCAAGCGGACTAAGCTCGGGTTCAGAAACAATGGTTTTGTACAATGGGATTTATATCTGTGGGAAAATGGGATCAACAAAAGCATTTTGCATGGGATCCAAAAGCCAGAGTTTAGCTATGTGATGATGAGAAGAGGTAAGCTTGTGAATTTCTTCCATGAGCCAGATGGTGGCTTCATCTTTACAAGGATGGATTATGGTATCCAGTGGGCGATGTCCATCTTCAGCACCAATCCTTGATTGGTCTCACTGTTTTAGGAGAATATTGGTCAGATAATGTAGAGGCTTTCCATATGACTGTTTGATGGATTTGCCTAGGCCCTGCCATGAGGTGAATGGAATAACTGATGCACGTTGAGAAGGAACTTGGTATCTGATTCATGTATTCTTGATACATTTTTGCTCGTATGATCATAGCACCTGCGTCAAGGAGTATGTCTTACACTGCCTTCACAATAGTTGTAACAACAAAAAGTAATTGAATGAATAAGCTAATTACGCAGACTGCTTAGGATGTACCAACAAGGTTCCATCCAATGGTGCAAGGAAACCAATAGAATGTAGACTGTTCATGAAACAGGAGAAATATTGGAAACTCGGTTTAAGGTATCAAGTTTTACTTCTAAGAAGCAGAAACTTACCAAGATCCAATGCACCTCTTGAATGCTGTACAATTTCAACATGAGTAAGAGAGGGAGAACTTCGACTAGAAGAGGAAACTGGAAGAAGATAAGAATGGGTAACGGAGGAGTCGGCTAACGGATAGGTTAAAGAGAGTGTTTTTGGATTTTT